AAAACAAATCGTCCATATTATAAATGTTATTGCTCACTTGGTTCTTCCAACTTACAAACGGTACAGAACTCTTTGTTTCCTCCACATTACAAGCTATACTGCTCATTTTGGTTGTAGCAGTTAGAAATATTGTGATATTTACGATGTATTTTGTTGGTATAAAAGCACGTGGCAACTGACTTGTTTAAGCATCGTATAGTTGTGTACATTATCTATAAAATCTACATGCTTTAGGCCACTAAATTAAATTTAAAGTACAATTATTTAGACTTTACCAGTAACTATGTAATAAAGACAGAGTGTATGAAATATCTTGAAGAGACACATAATAATGCAATGATTCAAGGTCTCTATGATTGTGATATTTTAACCATTAAAATATTATACAATATTCAAACATACATTCATCAGTAAGCCCAAAGAGTTTCAACACATAAAAATCCAAATGACAGCTTAATTCTTGTGGCACAACGTGATTCAAAATACCCTAATGTTTGTTTAAGATATTAACCGTTAAAACATCGAGCAATCAGGCTTAAATAATCAACTTTTTAATTAAACCCGTTTCATCTTCAGGAATTTAAACTCTCTGAATATGTAACATATAGAAAAAGTCAAAACTATGTAGAGAAGTTATTTTCCAATGGTTGCTATATATTTAACAGAAATATATACACACACACGGGCAAACGATAGGCGAGATAATAGCTTTAGTTAACCATAACACTAGAACCCTCGATACACGAGGGTCCCGGAGAGAGCGACAAAAAGGAGGCGTGTACATTTAAATTCAGGCACGTTTAACAACATTCAACCAACAAAACTTCACAGAAGGTGGCTCAGCTTTCTTGATTGGCTGAAGAGTGGACCACTATAAACTATAGTTTTTCTTAAGCTTTCGTTTCAATCAGTTTTTATATTATAAACTAGTAGTATACTTTGGAGAAGGAGATTTCAAATGTTATCTGCACTGACGGACATTTTTTGCAAAATACGTTCAAACGATACAGAAGTATATTGTAGAATAAAGTCAACATGTCTGAATCATTTTTCATGGGGCCTCTACTCACACGCTATATTTCTAGGACATCGCCCAGCTTGAATGGAGAATCACAGGATAGAACAGTTGCCAGAATGTGTCTTAATTCAATGCCTTCAAAAAAATCGCACTGGACGAACCAACTCAAAACTGTCTGTACCAATAGAAAAGAAGGCAGCTGTTTACCCCATTGTTCTATAGGTGTGAATTTCCCTTCTGCCTTGGGAGTAGTCTTGCCGACTTATACTTGTAGCTATAAGAGAGAATTTGAAAACGCTTCTTCAGTTCGAAATATCAACAACATTTGCGTACATTCGGACACCCCTATTCCTTCAACTTTAGGTCTTCCTTTAACCTCGATGACCAGATTTTGCCCAAATTATCTACACGGCTTAGAATTTTCACAACCCAGAACACAATTTCAAGGTTAGTAGTTTATTAAAAGTGCCTTTTAGTGTAATCGAAGTATTATCTTTATTTTTAAAACTTCTTTGTTGTCCTAATCAGTTATTTCATCTTTGTGTGTAGCTTAATTTTATCAATTTCTTTCAATTTTTCGTAAACACGTGATTTAGAGATGTCTCAAATCAAAACAAAAAACCGAAATTAACAAATGTTTTGTATCTATAATTGTTATATTACTTTTAATGAAGAAATATATAAACAAACAGAGGGAATTCCGATGGGTACTAATTTTCCCTTCAAATATAGCCAACTTGTATCTGTTCTTCTATGAAATCTCATAACATAACCCATATTTTTATTCTTTTCGTTACATAGACGATTTAATCTCAATCATTAACTGGAATTTTGACTCAAACATAATATACCTAACAGAACTTATAGCAGAGAGAAACAATAGTGGTGATATTCAGACACATTACCTATTGATTTATTAAGATATTAATTTTGTAGAAGGCAGAGTACAGTTGACTATTTTTCACAAGAGAAGGGAATTTTATTTTCCCATTCTTGATTTATCCATTCCTGACAGTGTTGTTCCGTGATAGTGTTAAAACGAATTATTATCTCCTAACATAACATAACGTTTTGGGACAACATGGAACCTACTGGTCCATCTCGGCTGTTCCATCCTCTAAACTAATTTGAAATAATAATAAATAAATAAAAAGTCCTAAAACCAGCCCTTGTCAATCATATACTTATCAAGCTTTTTTACAAACTCCCTTAAATTTACTGCCTCCACAACATCCTCATTCCAAAGGCCAACCACCCTGTTATAGAAATACAACTGTCTTAGCTGAAGGATATCCTACCTTGCCTAGATTTATATTTGTGTCCCCTAGTCCTACTATTCTCGCCGTTAAGTATGATAAAAGATGGTGCATCAACACTATCAATTCCCTTTACAATCTTAAACACCTCAATCAGTTCCCCTCTAACTCTTCTTTTTTCAAAGGAAAACAATTTCAGAGATCTTAATCTCCCAGTTAAAAATATTTTAAACAATTTGTAATAATATTAATTCTTTTATGGATAATGTTAAAGTATTCATAAGTAAATTGAAAAATGATGGTTATAAGATTTTTATGTTTGTAGTTAAGCACAAAGCTACACAATGGCCTATCTGTGCTCTGCCGACCATGGGTATCGAAACCCTGTTTCTAGTTTGTAAGTCCGTAGACAAACCGCTGTGCCACTGGGGGAGGGGACTGGTTATTAGGACTGGTATTTTAAAAAAATCATAAAAAAATTATGAAATTACACTGAAAAGTAAACTCTCGCTCACGGAAGCTACCTTGTGGAGAACTTAGAGGGCGTTAGTTTAGTTACTCAAGGTTATCCGTGGTTTAAATAAATAAACTAACGTAAACATATTTAGATTTTGTTCAGTATATCGGGTCGGAAAGATCAACCTCTGATAGCTGGGCTTGTCTCAGTTCACCTAGTTTATACTTGAACAAATTTGTCAAGATAAAAGGGCGTAGGTTAGGAGTTTTGTAGAAATATAGGGTGGTTTATTTCTACTATAGGAATATCTTTTGCTTTTTATGTCTTATAATATTAAATAAAAGGGCGGAGGTTGGGAGTTTTACATTTTAGAATTTTATGGTGGTTTAATTCTACGTTAAGGTTATATCTAACCTAAATATTAAGAGTAACTACCTTTCCAACTGGCTGTAGACAGCGAAAGGCAGTAGGAGTTGAGACGTTGTGGTTCAAGCAATCAATTCCAACCCTTAACTGATTCTCCTGAGTTGTTGGCGAGTTTTACATTGGGGTCGGGATCTTGTCTGATAGAGAGAATATTCCCAATGTATTTTGAATTTTAATTTCATCATAATGTTGTTTTTAGTTTGTATACGTATACAATATACATTCAATAAAATAATTACCTTTAATTTAATTTGATTTCCTTGTTTTTACACTAAAAACAAAATAAAAATTAGCTCATTTCAAACACATAGTTAAATCATAATACTTAATACAGTAGCCCAACTGTTGAAAAATAAATATAAACATGTCGACTAAAAATAGATGATTGTATACAACAATGTAAACACTTATCAGTTAATTTCTTGGTTCTAAACTTAAAATAATCTTAATAACAAAAAATACTAGTTGACGTTCTTTGGCTGATACAGAAGTCGTCTATATGAAGCCGACTCGAACTAGGGCCCGCATGCCCAGGTGGTTAGAGCGCTCGACTCGCAATCTGTGGGTCGCGAGTTCAAATCCCCATTACACCAAACATGCTCGCCCTTTCAGCCGTGGGGGCGTTATAATGTGACGGTCAATCCCACTATTCGTTGGTAAAAGAGTAGCCCAAGAGTTGGCAGTGGGTGGTGATGACTAGCTGCCTTCACTCTAGTCTTACACTGCTAAATTAGGGACGGCTAGCGCAGATAGCCCTCGTATAGCTTTGCGTGAAATTTAAAACAAAACAAACAAGACTCGAACTAGTACAAAGTTGTAATAAAAGTCCAGAAACATGGTACAGTGCATAAAGAAATCATGATTCACTCATTTGAGTTTTGTAGTGCCTGATTTACTGTACAATCTGCTTTACTGTTTAACAAGAGAATTATGCTATAAAGTCAACAAATTAAGCCAATTGCATATTTACAACATAATGCACGCACTTATTTTTAATTTGTCTTTTGTGCGATTCTTTTATGCTAGTTTACATTTTATAGGGGGATTTATAAAAATAAATATGTAATTTATTTTTACCTCATATCGGCTACCTGATAATCACAAAACGTATATGATTCCTCTCTCAACCTCGTGATGGTTCAACGGTGAGTTATAACGCTAAAAATCAGGTTTCGATACTTGCGGTAGGTACAGTATAAATAACCCACTGTGAAGCTTTGTCCTTAATAACAATCTCTTAGTGTAAGTTGATTTGGAGTTAAGCACAAAGCTACACAATGGGCTATCTGTGCTCTGCCCACCACGGGTATCGAAACCAGGTTTCTAGCGTTGTAAGTCCACAGACATACCGCTGTGCCATTGGGGGGGCCCTCTTTTAGTGATAGAGATATCATTTCTTAACTAACTTGAGAACGTGTTTTTAGATTACGTTATGTTAGACGTAAGCATACATTCTGTATTACAATTACGAGTTTAATGAACGTTTTTTTTTCTGTAATATTAATCATTCTCAGAAAGGCTTACTTTTGGCGTGCCATGAAGAAAGGTAAGGTTATTTAAATCTCAGTGCTACATTCTGTAGAATAGTATACGAAAATGATATTAAGTATGTGTAAGTTAATAAGCCAAAGATTAATGCTGTCTGTGAGATATTGTTTCTTTTCACTTATTGTAAAAGTGTTTGAAGAAGAATTTCAGTTACACCCTCTCATAAAAAATGTGATATACTGGCTGCACATATTTGTACGCAAGTCTAACCACGTGTGAATTTATTAAAGTTTGCTTCATTCATGTCTAGTAAAAAAAAGAGTAACATTTACAGATGCAGAAAGTAATGTTGGGTGTCATGATTAAAACTTCTATTCAAGTTTCATGTATAGATCATTGCAAGTAAATTCTGCGTTGTCATACTTTATATTTCTCTACAAACTTTTCCAAGGTACCAAAGTAGGATAATTTGAATTTAGTTGGAATTTGTAGAACGAAGGAAATGAAGGAAAAGCTTGAACTGGATACTTTGTTAGGTATATAACAGTACCAAGGTATGAAAACTTGAATTGAGTCAATTGGCAAGTACAAAATGGCACCAAAGGAAGAAAACGTTGGCAGATATATAACTGTAGCAAGGTATGAAAACTTGAATTGAGTCAATTGGCAAGTATAAAATGGCACCAAAGGAAGAAAACGTTGGCAGATATATAACTGTAGCAAGGTATGAAAACTTGAATTGAGTCAATTGGCAAGTATAAAATGGCACCAAAGGAAGAAAACGTTGGCAGATATATAACGGTACCAAGGTAACCTTGCTACCATCTACATTTACCAACTGACTCAATTCAAGTTTTCATACCTTGCTACAGTTATATATCTGCCAACGTTTTCATACCTTGCTACAGTTATATATCTGCCAACGTTTTCAATGAAAACTTGAATTGAGTCAGCTGGCAGATGTAGAATTTAGAAACAACACAATATTTGAATTATAGGATAAAATCGTGTTTAGAGTGATTGTGAAAGTTTTAATTTTTTTATTCTGTTTTAATTAGGCCATATTCAAATCTCTTCATGCAACGGGAAGTTGAAAACCAAACGAACTCGAACATCTTTTAATGGCGTACAACTCCTGGAGCTGGAGAAAGAGTTTACAAATAACATGTACCTGTCTAGACTTCGCAGAATTGAGATTGCAAATTACTTGAATCTATCCGAAAAACAGGTTAAAATCTGGTTCCAGAACCGTCGGGTGAAATTCAAAAAAGAAGGTCTTTTTTATTGTAAAAATCGACAAGAATTCAGTCCCCACGCATCAGACGCCGCAGTGTGATTGATACACGAGAATCGACGAGAACGAGAGAACGCTTTCAGAACATAGAGTGAACATATTTCTCTATATGGATCACAATTTACGTATTCTGTTACCCTTAACAACATAATCAACCATAAAAACTTTTTATCAATATTTATATCTGAAGGTTAAAATACATATAAAATAACAATACATAATAAAAACATATTAGACCCTCTCTCAGTTAACAATGTATCATGAGGTTTCCTTTTTTGCTGTTCTTACGATTCTTCTGTTGCAATAACTAAAAACTATTTATCATATCTAAACACCAAATTATTATTAATATTCACAAATTGGATGTAATAAACGTTGCTTCACATATTCCTCAATAATTTGTGTGTTTTAAAACTTTTATTTTAACAATAAAATGGTATATACTTGAAAGTAGCCGTTTGGGGATAAAAAATGAAAACAGAAGTTTTACTGATTTCAACAGTTATTATTTTAAAACTACTTAGATTAAACTCAATCGTTTCTGTGTCATAAGTCAAATATTATACAATAATTTAGGGTAGTATTATCAGCACGTTGAGTACCTTACACTTCGTAATATGAAATATGTTCACTCGAGATAATAATCAGTCTTCACAATGCAGTTACTTTTTTACACACGTTTAAATAAGAAATGTTTTTTGTTTGTTGGGAAGCACAATGCTCCACAATGGACTATCTGTGCTCTGTCCATCACGGGTATCGAAACCCGAATTTTAGCATCGTAAGACTGTAGACTTACCACTGAGCTGCTCGTGTGGGGCAATAATAAATGAAGAGGAAGCTTTCAACCGTTATTATTTCTGCTGTGACGTGTGCGATGTCAGTTGTTTTTAGCTCAAACATTCAATGTATAACACAACAAAATTTAATGCTGCAAAAGTGGTATTATGTGATCGTCGACAGAGAAATAAAGACTCCACCAGAGGCACCTGCTTCGTACGAACGTTCACGTGTATTGCTTGTAAACTAGTAACCAAGACAGAAAGGGGTTTTGAATATGTTATTAGTTCTGTATAGATATTCTCAAATACTGAAAACCATTCATTAGATTCAAATAAATCTTCAATTTCCCATTTTTCGAAGTTCTCATGCTTTATTCAAAATGTCAGTCTACTTTTTCTTCAACATGAATTAAAATAGAAAATTATCTCGTAATATTGTGTAGCATCATATATGTAGAGTTTATGGACAAAAATCCAGCTTCACAGACACTGGGTGTTTAGATATGGTTTGTCATGCAGGATGCAACATCCTTTTGGATATTTCGATGAGTAATTTAGAGGAGCGCTACAATGGATGCCCCTGTATGTGTGTCTGTGAGAATAAAACGCCCTTTGATTTTTCTGAGAGGGTTCATAATTTGTAAGGTAAGACATTTTACGATTTCTACATCAAGATGAAATGTCAAAATGACTATTATGGTCTAAGTCAGAGTTACCACGATTTGGTGATTATTTTGTTAATATTTGATATTTTCAACATGAACATGAACAACATCTTACACGACACATTTTCTAGAACAACCAGGTCGGAGGACCTGGGGGGATACGATAGGTATAGTCGCCCCTAATTTTAAACAATCGATCAAAGAGACGATAACCAATCAGCAGCACCTGCCATCATAAGGACTTGCCAAGCTTTGAAATGAATAACATGATTGATTTTCACTGTTATTATCTACCTAAAGCTGAAAATGCAGACCTCCCAATCTGCAGCCCGGCACGCTAATTCCTAAGACATATCCATCTCAATCATATTTTTTTATTCATCTTGTGAACAGGGTTTATCTTCGCTTTCTCTTATGGTCACTCTTGTCTTCCTTCTGTAGCAGCTTCTCTAAGTCTGCTGTGGGTAAATAAATATCAACTGGAGTTTGGTCTAAGTAACCACATCAAGAATTTCCTTTTTGTATATTTTATATTGTAAACATTTTAAAGGTCCAACAATTTATGAATAATAAGTTATTGTTATTTTCTCTGTTCAACGACAGGAATCGAACCCCGGATTTTATCGTTGTAGACCGTAATCGTACTGCTCATCCACCGGGGTACATGGATAACAAGGCAGGGAAGGTAAAGGATAGAGAAAACGTCAAACCGAAATAACCTTAGATGCATTTTAGCGCCATCTAAACTAGCCATATTTATAATTTATTTATTTATAACCAGAGGTGGGCGTGATCTAGTGGTTAGAATGACCGGACGGTCAGACAAGACTAACTTAAGAGTTAACAGTGAATAATATTGACTAGCTGTCTTCCCTCTAGTGTATCAGTTAAAAATTAAGAACGTCTAGCGCAGATAGAAGAGTAACTTAGTTTATTTTCATGGCCCTCCCCACTTCAGTGGGGTAGGCCCGGCATGGCCAGGTGGTTAAGGCACTCGACTCGCAATCTGTGGGTCGCGGGTTCGAATCCCC